TAAAGGCGTGCGCCACCAACGCCCGGCAATGATTTATTTTTAATACCTTCGGATGCTCAAAAAGAAATGACTCTCCCACCCCTGGAATTCAGTCGCCCTGCTCTCTGACCTGGAGACCAATGGTACTAGATTATGTCTTTAGGATAAATCCTAAAAGTAGAACTGGAGTCAAAGGGTATGTGCATTTGTCATTTTAACAAACCCTCCAGAAATAATGCACTAGTTTGTATTCCTGATAATATGCAAAAGTGCTTTTTCTCCAAGTCCTTGACAATGTTATGTCTTTGGTTTTCAAAAGAGAATGAATACTTTCAAATGAAAAGTAGAGTACCTTTTTATTTAGAAAGATTCAAAATGAAATTCACTGTTGCCTTCACTAATTAGTTATCAGGACCCATGCACTATGATAAAAACAAGAAATACATCAATGTATCAATTTTGCAAGTACAAGTCAAACTTGAGAGGGGAATCCAGAGACAGCTCTGGCTTTTTCATATTTTCTTCCAATATTCTCAATTCAAATGGTGTTTCTCTTGGTGAGGCTCTGTTACAAGGAAATCCTGTCTTAAAAAAACAAAACAAACAAACAAAAGATGAAAAAGGGGGCTGGAGAGGTGGCTCAGTGGCTAAGAGCACTGGTTGCTCTTACAGAGAGCCTGGGTCTAGTTACTAATATCTGCACAGCAGCTCACAAACATCTGTAACTCCAGTTCCAGGGGATCTGACACCCTCTTCCTGCCTCCTCTAGCTCCAGTGCACACGCACGCACACACACATTCACATCCTTGCACACATAAAACACCTGTTGCTGACTAGTGTTTTGTCAACGTGACACAAGCTAGAGTCATTTAAGAAGAGGGAACACCTTAGCTAGGCAGTGGTGGCGCACACCTTTAATCCTAACACTCAGGAGGCAGAGGCAGGTGGATCTCAGAAAGGCCAGCCTGGTCAGAGAGAGAGTTCCAAGACAGGGATGCACAGAGAAACCGTCTCAACCGTCTCAAAAAAAAAAAAAAAAAAAAAAAAAAAGAGGGAACCTCAACTGAAGAGACATTCCCAACTAGACAGGCCTGTGAGCAAGTCTGTAGGACATTCCTTGAATATTGGTACTGGATATGCCCAACCTACAGGGGTAAGTGGTCCTGGATGGTGTGGGAAGCCAGGAAGCACACTCCCCTATGGTTCCTGCTACAGTTCCTAACTCCAGGTTCCTGCCCTGCTGTAGCTCTTGCCCTGACTTCCCTCAGTGATGGAGTGTGACCTGAGAGTTACAAGCTGAAATAAACCCCTTCTCCCCAGGTTGCTTTTGGCTGAGGTATTTTATCACAGACATAGAAACCCTAACTAAGACAATACCCATACACATATTTTTTAGATTCATTTATGAGTGTTTTGCCTGCATATGTGTTCTTATACCACATGTATGTCTGGGGCCCAAAGAGATCAAAAAATGGTATTGGATCCCCTAGGACTAGAGATACAGATGGTTGTGAGCCACCATGTGAGTTCCTGGAATCAAACCCAGGTTCTCTGCAAGATCAGGTGCAATACATCTTTCTAGGCCCCAAAACATTTAATTGAAAGAAAAAAAATAGCTGCAGAGTAGCTCAATGGTAGAGCTTGCACAGCATGAGAGAGGCTCAATCCCTAGCGTTTTAAAATTAAATAAATACAATTTCATAAAAAGCATGCCACAGATGCCTTTGACAGCTGAGTATGAATTTCAGGCCTCACCTATTCTGGAACTTTGCACAAGTTATCTCCTCTCTGTGCATGTCTGTAGCATGGGTCACTACCTTCCATACAAGATAGCTGTCACAGTCACAGAGAAAACAGTACAGGGACTCCATCCAGGTAAGGACTCTGAGTTCAGAGAACAGTACTGTTTACACTCCCTACAGAGCAATAAAATCAGCAGGTGTTACACTGCCACACAGTCACAGCTTCCCTTTCTGACTGAACATGGCTCCTTGAAGGGAGACTGGGAAACTGTCTATACACTGACAGGAGATCCAGAGAAATAAGATTTCCACCTGAAGTGTTGAAGTCAGGGGCATTTGCACTCTTACCATAACTCCCACTAACAGCCTGCCTTGAGGCAAACATTACTACAACACTGTTAGCATCTCCTGGGATGAGTGTTTTGCCTGCACATATAGGCCCAGAGTAGTTAGGTCATTTGCTTGGTCACTGAGCAAGTCAGTGGCACAGCTTCCCAACCCCAAGTCACATGTGTAAAAGATGGTACCTCAGTGACTTGTGCTTGGGTGTTTCCTCACGTCTGTCCCAGCTTCCAGACGCATTACTCAGCACAAGGCTTGGCACCTAAGGAGCACCTCATAAATGTGCATGGTCTGTCAAAGCTGATATCCAAGAGCACACAAACTGTCCAACACAATACAAGACAATCTATTCAACTAAAGTTTTGGAAAATCAGTATCCTACAAGAGCAGTGGTTATTTTGAGACCTAGAACTGTATTATATAGCTGACTCGCTCCTTGCTTTTCAATTGCCGCTCCAGACTCTTTTGATAGGGGTGGGAGGTGCTAGGGATGGAACCCAGGTCTCACAAAGGTCTAGTACTCCCACTGAGCTACACTCCCAGCCTTGGTCCAGACTCGGAAATAGAAAGGGGTAAGTACAGGGACAGACTACAGGGATTTCATGGATACAACCAGAAAATAGTCCAGGTTGTCCAGATTGTCATTTGTGACTGGTGTGTGCGTGCGTGTGTGTGTGTGTGTGTGTGTGTGTGTGTGTGTGCATATGCACTCACAGGGAAGACTAACTATGGAGTTTATTGTGCACCCTTGTAAGACCTAATTCATACATTCAACAGCAAACCTGACATTCAGATACTGTATGTGAATGAATAGGAATTTGGCAATTTTAACTCAAATCAATATAGCTGAGCAATGTTGCACTAGAGAAAAGCACACCAGCTGGGGAAAGATGCCAGTTAAGGGCTGTCACTTTACAGAAAAAAAAAAAAAGCATTTAGAGCCAGAGAACCCAGGCTGAGGCTCATCTTTGCCACTCACTTAGCCAGTGTCCCTCACCTGTAAACAGGGGAGCTCCCACTCCGTTTGCTACAAGAAAAGTTTAGAAGATAAGGAGTGTTTTGCTTCTACTGTCATGCAAGTCAGTAGAACCTCATTAATTCAGATTTTCTCTGAGGTTGAGCTAAAGGCCTCTAAAATATTCTAAACTATTAAAGGAGAATGAATAGGGCTGACAAGAATTAACCAATTAAGGAAAAAAAAACTTTCTAAGAGTTTAATACCACACAAAATAATGACAAAATAATGATCTCATTTCTGTGTTCAAAAGGAGTTCTTGTGATCAAAAACAATAAAGCCTGGCATGACCAGTTGGTAGTGCTTGCTTTGTGCACATGAGAACCCAGGCTAAATTCCCAGAACCCCTCCCCCCAACACACACACAGACACACACAAGCAAGCTGGCCATGATACCATATAGAGGAAAGAAAAGACAGAACCCAGGGCACACTGGCTCCCCAGCTTTGCCTACTTGGTAAGCCACAGGTAAGTGAGACCCTGTCTCAAAGAAAACAAAGGGAGATGGCACTGCGGATAGTGCCTGAAGTTGCCCTGGGCCTTCAAACACCTGCACACAAGCACCTGTGCAAACAGGCATAGGCATACATATGCAATATAAAGCTAAGTACTACTTGGAAAATCTACATCAACTCTTACAAATCAGGCTTGCACCCTAGAGCTTCCTCTATCAGTTGTGTTTACTGCCATTTAGAAAATGCCAACTAGGCTCAATGATAAAAAATAAGCCTGACAAGATCTGTTTCCTGGCCCCAAGGAGTCTATGGCTAAGTCTGGATTTAACTTTTATGTAACAGTAACAAATTTCCTCACACTACAATGTATCTTTGATCCACTTTCATATTCAAAGGGTTGTCTATCTTTACAAACCCACCAGGCACTTCTAAGGAACAGCTGGTAAAGTAAAAACTAGTTTGTCAGCTGTTACAGAGACCACCCAGGGAATCAACCCAGCAACTAGTCCTAGAACAGAATAGCCAACTCGGATTAATAATCACAGAAATCAGCTTCAGTATGTCCCAAGGTCACCTGGAGGACAAGGGCTCCACACTCAAGTACTGTGTGTACACCAAGTAAATGAAGAGGTGGACCCATGTGTTATTCAGCAGATGTGAAAAAGCAAAAGTAGGGTCCATGTGGAAAGTGAACCATTCTAGAGAGAAACAGTGATGATGCGTCTGTAGTATCAATGTTCTTAAAAATGACTAGGATGGTAATTTGATTATATGTATTTTTTGTGATTAGAAAAAAAAATAAACTGGCCCAGCACTCGGGAGGCAGAGGCAGGAGGATCTCTGTGAGTTCGAGGCCGGGCTGGACCAACAGCCTCCAAAACAATACAGAGAAACCCTGTCTCGTAAAACCAAAAAAAAAAAAAAAAAAAAAGACAAAAAACAAAACAAAAAAACCAAACTTGGTAGCCAGGTGGTGAAACTGGGTAGCCAGGTGGTGGCACACACCTTTAGTTCCAGCACTTGGGAAGCAGAGCAAGGTGAGTTCGAGGCCACTCTGGTCTATAGAGCTACTTCTAGGATAGCCAGGGTTACACAGAGAAACCCCATCCAAAAACAAAACAAAACAACAAAACAACTCTGTCAGGTGTGGTGGAGCATACCTGGAATCTCTGCACTTAGGAAGTAGAGGCAGAAAGGATACGGAGTTCAAGGCCACCCTTGGCTATGAGTCCCCATTTCAAAACAAACAAACAAACAATATTTCATCATAAACAAATCCAAACCACAGTTCTACCCCACCGATCATATGCTTGAGTGGTTATTAGAGCCATTAAGCCTGTACAATGACGTTTGCTGACTTATTAAGTGAACAGTTAAGGAAATGGAAATTCATTCAGACATTACAAGTAATTACAAAGAAACTAAGAAGAACACAAAGACACGAACATTAAGATGTTAACAGGTTACCTGCTAATAGCTGGTACCAGTTACCTGGGAACTGAAGCAGGAAGATCCATTGAGGCCAGGAGTTTGAGACTGGCCTAAGCAACCCAGTAAGCTCCAATCTCAAATAATGATGATAACTGGGAAAAAGTGGAATACAGAACTATGTGTAACAACTGATTTAACCATAAAAATGCACCCAATGGTGAACCAGGGTGATGGCTAAATGGGTAAAAGCCTTTGCTGGATAAGCATAACAACCCATGTTTGACTCCCCAGAATTCATGGAAGACCAGACACTGTAACAAAAGTGTCCATAAGCCCAACGCTCTTACAAAGAAAAGACAGGAGGACTTTTGAAAACTCATGGACCACCTAGCCTGACCCCTGCGCTTGCGTTTGCTCTCTCTCTCTCTCTCTCTCTCTCTCTCTCTCTCTCTCTCTCTCTCTCTCTCTCTCTCTCTCTCTCACACACACACACACACACACACACACACACACACACCTGTGCTGTACCCAGTGATAAGAAACAAGGACATAAGAGCAACTACAACAAAGGTTCTCTTTATATGATACAGGGATGACAAGGTGGGTAAGAAGGATACTTTTCTAAAATTTCTAAAGTAAGTAATCTTCAATGATTTAAATGACTAGGGTATTTGTTTTAATATTCATGATGGTATGGATAGAGCCAAAGGCTATGGAGTCAGAAGCAGCATGGTAAGCCAGCATTTCTGGAACCCCAAGCCTCCATCTGCTCTAAGTACCTCAAAACACCATGCACCCATCCTCTCTGCCTGTGACAGACACAAGGATCGCCACATGCTCTTACCACATTTTGGGTGACGCTATTTTTCTGGGCACAAGTAGTACCTCTTTCACAGGAACAAGGTTGCTCAAATCAGCAGTGGCTGGAGTTGCACCAACCTCTGCATGATCAGCAGTCTAAAATGGACATCTTTTTTTTTTTTTTGGTTTTTCGAGACAGGGTTTCTCTGTGGCTTTGGAGGCTGTCCTGGAACTCACTTGGTAGTCCAGGCTGGTCTCGAACTCACAGAGATCCGCCTGCCTCTGCCTCCCGGGTGCTGGGATTAAAGGCGTAAAATGTACATCTTTATTCTGTGCTTTAGAATGTCCAAATTGCCAGGTGGTGGTGGTGCACACCTTTAATTCCAGCACCCGGGAGGCAGAGGCAGGCGGATCTCTGTGAGTTCGAGACCAGCCTGGACTACCAAGTGAGTTCCAGGTCAGACAGGACTGTTAAACAGAGAAATCCTGACTTGAAAACAACAACAACAACAACAAAAAACCCTACAGATGTCAAAATCAAATTTCCTTCAGATAAGGAAGTTACTGGCATGTCTCCATTGTGCCATTCAGTTCATTCTGAGTCACTTCCAGGGCTGTCAGAGACTACAAATACTCTGACTATTGGACAAGTAACCCAATTATAGAATGGGTAAAGGAACTGAATGAATATTCTTCCAATAAAATGTACAGATGAATGGGTCAAAAGAGATAGCTTAGTAGGTAAGGGTGTCTACAAGATGTACAAATGATGGCAAGTACATGTAAATATGTTCAATACTATCAGTCATGAGGGAAATGTAAATCAATAACATAATGAGATAACCCTTCATACCTGGAAGGGTGTGTGTATGCATATATGTATATTTTGTTTAGCTGGTTGGTTTTGTGATTTTGAGACAGGGTTTCACCATGAAGTTCTGGCTGTCCTGAAACACAAAAAAAAGACTCACAGAGATCTCCCTGCCTCAAGTGCTGGAATTATTCTTAGATAGGACAGGGGATGGGGGGGTGGGGGGTGGGGGATGTTGGCTCAGTTGGTAAGTGCTGCTGCACAAGTATTAGGACCTGAGTTCAGATTCCTAGCACTCATGTAAAAGCTAGGTAAGGCAACACTTATCTGTAACTTAGCACTGAGGGCTGGGAGAAGAGACAGGCAGATGCTAGGAGCTTGCTAACCAGTCAGCTGAGCTCTAGATTCTGCCAGACTCTGTTTCAAAATTAAAAAGTAGGTAATGAGTAAATAACTAAATCAGAAAGCAAACAAGTACCTTCACATATATACAGCCCCCAAACACAAGAAACTTAAAAGCCAGACAAGCATAACAATATATATCAGCAATTGGACCAGCCTAAACAGGAGGGGGGGGAGGGTAGTCATTCTTGGCTCAGAGGCTATGCAAAAAAACACCCATTGGGCTAGATTTGGCCTATAGGCCAAAGTTTTTAGGTCAGGATTTTTCAATGTGTGTTTCAATTTTAAAAATACATAAAAATAACCCCCTGTGGTAGCATACACTAGTAATCCCAGTACTTGGAAGGCAGAAGCAGGAAAGTTTGAAGTTACCCTGGCTATTACAAAGCAAAACTCCGTAATAAGGATTTAAAAAAGGAGGTTTTACACCAAATAAGTTTGGTAACACTAAACTAAAGCAAAACATGTTATTATGATAGCTTATTATAAGCCTATGTTTTTATTCTGAGAACTCTCTGCCTTTAATGTAGTACTTACGCTAAGACACTAATAAAGGATAATGGGGAGTAGCTTTTCCTAAACTCATTTTTTCACCATCAGATTCCTTCTCACAGGCGTCAAACAGTGGCCAGTAGAATACACTTACTAAAGATCAATCTGATGTCTCTTTAAAACCAAACTCCCAAATCAAGTTTTAAAAACTCCAACAAATTAAGAGCAAGTTCCTCCACACTGAGATGGCAATTGAGTCTAAGGTCTTATAGTCTTGAATGTCATGTAACAACTGAATGATCATTTCACACTTTAAAAAATTTTTTTTTGAGAAACATAAACAACAGGAAAACAGGCAGGAACTTCTGGTTCAAATCCAACTTTTGTTTTGTGTAAGAATCATCGGCAGAATTGGATCATAATATGGAATCTTTGCTTCTCTTCTCAAGACAACATAAACACTGTGTGTGTGTGTGTGTGTGTGTGTGTAAAACAGCCCTGGCTGTCCTGGAACTCACCTCCAAGTGCTGGAGTGCTGGGAATAAAGGCATCAATCACCACGTCCAGCAGCATAAACATTCTTTTTTTTTTTTTTTTTGGTTTTACGAGACAGGGTTTCTCTGTTTTGGAGGCTGTCGGTCCAGCCTGGCCTCGAACTCACAGAGATCCACCTGCCTCTGCCTCCCGAGTGCTGGGATTAAAGGCGTGTGCCACCAAAGCCCGGCGGCATAAACATTCTTAAGTGCTCTAACAGGCAATGGAAAACTGCTCTACTTAGCGTTTGGTAAAATACAAAATAAAGAAACCAAGAGTTAGATTAAGAAACTATAGGTATGCTTGAAGGATCATCTGTGAGAATGTGCTGGCAAGTCAGGACCATAAAAGAATTGGTCATATATGCTGAATGGATAGCCAGCTTACAAACTGCAAAAATTCTCTCACATCTATATGCACACTGTTAGAGAGAAGATTAAGGCTCAATTTATAAACTAGGGAGAAGACTGATCAAAAAACTGCAGTCAGCCCTCCATTCTGTGGTCCAGAGTTCACTGGCAAGCAGAGCCCTGGAGAACACAAGCAACCCCAGCATTTGGGAGGCTGAGGCCGGAAGACCTGAGTCCGAAGTCAGCCTGGGCTACATAAACTCTGGAAAAGGAAAAGAGAGAGACAGACAGAGGGGCCAAGTTCACAGTCTTCAGAGGCTTTCAAAGCTGTTCTTAGAAAACAAATTACTAATGTCAGATATAATACAGCACTTGGGAGGCTGACGCATGAGGATCACAGCCTGGGCTATCAAGTGAGACCCTGGGTAATAAAATAAATGGAAAAAAAAAGGCAAAACAACAAAAAAAAATACTAACCAATCACTGTCTATCAATACAACAAACATTTCCTACACCTTTATCAGATGTTGGGTCATTCCAAAGTCCTTGAAAAGGAAGGATAGTGAACACGAAAACCAGGAAAAGATTACATAAGATCAAGTGTACTGGTCCTATTTACAGCAGATGTCAGCTAGGGAGGGGTCAAGAAAAGAAAGGAAAACAAAGAAATTTAACATTCAACAGACATAATGGTGCCAAGTAATGTGGAATCCCAGCACTCTGAGACAGAGGCAGAGATCATGAGTTCAAGGACAACCTGAACTACAAAAGGAGTTTGAAGACTGCCAGACATCCATAAGATTCTGTTTCAAACAGGAATGTCACACACTGTGAAAGCAGAGTTAGCAATGGAAAGATAAGACTCACAATAGCTACTCAGAATAAGAGACCTCCAAGTTGGGAAGGACCTCCATCTAATACCTGTACACCTTCTTCCACAAGGAGACAGTCAATCCCATCAATGGTCACCTCTGATGATTCTCCCGCTAAATTCTTAATATTAAACACACATTTGTCTTCCCATAGAACCCACCTAGAATCCTGGTTGTACCTCTTTCAGCCCCAAAGTTTAAGTGGAAGCCCTCTTTGACATAACCTACGTGCGCCACGCCCCCGGCCAGTTTTTAAAGACAGTCTCTTGTGGTGGCCTTTCCTACGCTAGACTGATGGATGTCCAAAGACGTGAGCCGGCTCCAGCTGCCTCCAAGCGAATCCCGCATTCACAGCGAGGGAGCGCTTCAGAACCGGCCTCAAACGCCGGTGCGGACAGGAGTCCCGAGGAGAACGTTCAAAATAAGGTTTCCTAGGTTCCAAACCCAGATTCGAAACAAGCTGTCGCAGGAGTCCGGGGCTGGGAAGCCGGCATCCCGGAGGGTTTCGGGTGGCGCGAGGCCGTGTTTTGAGGAGCGGCGCCCGGCTTTCCAAGTGCGGGGACCAGGCTCCGTGAGGGAGGGCCCTTGGCCTAGAGCGCACGATCGGCCGTCGGCGGCGAACTCGAATCCAGGTCTCCCTCGCCTCAGTCCAATCAGTTCGCCACACTCCGCACCTCTCCACTCGGCCACACATTCCCTCCGGGGGGACGGGGCCGCGCCCGGGGCAGACAGGGAGTCAGGGGGTGCCCTTGTCTGGACAGGGAGCGCGCGCGCCCTCCTCTTCCCTGGGGCCTCGGTTGGCCCAATCTGTACCCAAGGCCGCCGGCCTGACCTTTCTTCTGGGACCCGGGCAGAGTCGGACGCGCTGTCCCGGGCCCCGGGTTCCAGGCGCCCGACTTCCCGAGCCCCGGAAGGGGGCCCGCCGCCCCCCGGGCCGCCGCCCCAGCTCCTCACCTACCTGAACTGCAGTGCGAGCGCCCGCGGCGCCACCAGTCCCTCTCGGCCCCCCGTGGACAAGCCAGTCTCAGCGACTCGTCAGTCTGAAGGAGCGGACCTCCGGCCCCGCCCACCCGGACTTTTGTCACCTGACGCAGAGCCTCCTCTGTCAGAGCAACTTCCGGCGACAGCCGGAAAAGGTTGGTGTTCAGCGCCGAGCTCCGGCCAGGTGCGTAGCTCGTAAGTTCCGCCCTGGCAGGAAGCAGAGGACTTCCGGCCTTTTGGTAGCGTTTCCTGATGGGGAGGAGAAGGGAGGGAGTTCAATGGGTGGGACGATTGCTCGCCTTCTTATAGTCGTGGGTTCGATTCCTAACATCGCACAAAACGTGAGCGTACGCGCCAGCAATCTCAGCATTCACCCGGGCAGTGGATCAGAATTTCAATGTCGTTTTCGAGGGTGAGACTCTGTTGCTAAACAACAGCAGCTAAAAAGTATGTGAGGGGGAAGGGCCGCCTTGATGAAAAAGCCAGTCCTGGAATGCCTTGTACTAGAATGTAAGGACGGTGCCGATGGATGGGAATGTGTAAAATGACTCTACTAACCAAATCCGTGAAATCTCATTATTAAAACATAGAGTATAACTTATTGGAGGCAATGAGATGGCTAGGTGGGTAAGGATGCTTGCTACCCAGCCTTGTCGACCCTAGACCAATACCCAGGGACTCACAGTTGTCCCCTAACCTTCGCTTGTATACAGACATACTTAATAAATACCTGTTATTTTTTTTAAAAAGAGTATAATTGGATGAGCTGGTGACCAATGGTGGGTTTTCTTACAGTAGCAAGTAGATGAACAGAAAATTAGATGTCTTTTTTTAAAATATTTTATTTATTTATTATGTATACAGTCTTCTTTCTGCCTGCATGTCAGAAGAGGGCACCAGATCTCATTCAAGGTGGCTGTGAGCCACCATGTGGTTGCTGGGAATTCAACTCAGGACCTCTGGAAGAAGAGTCGGTGCTCTTAACCACTGAGCCATCTCTCCAGCCCCAAATTCGATGTCTTAACTGTGAATACATAACAAGTGTTATTCCAGTGCAGTACTCGATGCAGCTAAGTGGCTCCGCCATGCAGCCGCTTCAAAGCTGTGCAGATGTGATGCTACACCGGGTGGGCATAGAGCTGGCTCGCCTCATCCTGGAAAGAGGGCAGGACTTCCGCCCTGGCCTTGGGCAAGCAGGAACAGTAGCTTCCATGAGTGCAAGCTGAGGTTGGGCCAGCACATCGGCCTTGAAGTATCCTTCACCGGATGGCTTTTGGCTTCCAATTAACAGCTTGAGAGCCCAAACAGATGAGACTGCATGCTGTCCCCAGAGTGCTCCCATTATCAGACTCTAGCTGTAGCTCTGCCTGTGGAGGACCCGGGGGAACTATCAGAATACACCGTTCCTTTCGTTCCGGGGTAAACTACAGTTCTTTTTTTTGGGGGGGGTGTCTTAGTCTCATTAGTAAAAGAATTTAGACTTGGACTCAAAGAAAACACAAAGACAATAGTATTAGAGTTTACAAGAAGAGCAGTACAGCTTAGTTGAAAATCTCAGAAACTGCTAGGAAATGGAGGAAAACCTCGTCTTTTAAACTAGACATGGAATAGAATTAGTTCATCAAGAAAAGGGAAAACTGACCTGGCAATGGTAGGCCAGCCTGGTCTACAGAGCTAATTTTAGGACATCCAGGCCTACACAGAGAAACTCTGTCTCAAAAAAGAAGGAAAGGAAGAAAGGAAGGGAGGAAGAAAGGAAGGGAGGAAGGAAGGGAGGGAGGAAGGAAGGAAGGGAGGAAGGGGAAAATGGGGCTGGAGAGATGGCTCAGCTGTCAAGAGCACTGGACCATAGAACCCAGGTTTGATTCCCAGAAGCCATGCAGTGACTCACAACCTTCTACAACTCTAGTTTCCGGGGATCTGACACCCTCTTCTGGTCCCTGTGGGTGTTGCATGAGCACAGTGATTAGACAGTCTTACAGGCAAAATACCCATACACATAAAATTTTTTTTAAAGAAAAAACCATCTGGAGAGATAGCTCAGGGGTTAAGAGCATGGGCTGTTCTTCCAAAGATCCTGAGTTCAGTTCCCAGCAACCACATGGTGGCTCACAACCATCTGTAATGAGATCAGATGCTCTCTTCTGCCATCAAGCATACATACAGACAGAACACGCTTGCCTAAAACATACATAAATAAAACTTTAAAAATAATAAAAAGAAAGTAAGAAAAAAACACCCCCCCAAGAATAGAAATGGCCTAGCCGGGCGTTGGTGGCGCACGCCTTTAATCCCAGCACTCGGGAGGCAGAGGAAGGCGGATCTCTGTGAGTTCGAGACCAGCCTGGACTACCAAGCGAGTTCCAGGACAGCCTCCAAAGCCACAGAGAAACCCTGTCTCGAAAAACCAAAAAAAAAAAAAAAAAAAAAAAAAAAAAGAATGGAAATAGCCTAATAAGCTGAGCAAAGGACCTGGAAGGTGTCTGGCATGCAGGTGACAGGCTTTTCCAGCCCTCTCCTCCTGCTTGTCTTTCAGTGGCTTTGTTTCCTTCATGCTCTGTTCATGATGCCACAGCAAGGAAAGGCTTTGGGTCTTCCTCTGCATGCGGACTTCTTTCCCATTTTGATCTCGATGTAGCTTTTGCTGTCGCTCTTCCTCTCCTGCCACCCCCTTGCGGGAACCCTCGACCCCAGCACACTTTAACATGCTGAGTCAGGACAAGACCTGAGTGCCCACTTGTCCCCTGGATAGCTGTGCTAGACAGAGGCCCCATGGCACAGTGGACTGCCTTGCTGGAGGTACTCTGGTGCCTCAGGATCCTTCTGGGGACTTCTGGCCATCCTAATCATTGAAGTGCTCCAGGCAGTAAGAGGACTGAAACCCCTGTTTTCTGGGGCTGTGCTGTGATACTCACACTGTTGGCTAGTCCAGCTGCTAGGACCTGGGGCCTGGTTTCCATCTTTGAGTGATACACACTTTAGTGTGTTAGTCTGGAAGTACTTGGCACTTTTGCTCCCAGTATGAGGCCAGCAGCGGCCTGGCTCTCAGATGTCTTGTCTCAGAGGGTAGCGAAGTGGTGACCCTTTACTCCATTCTAGAACCTGCCTGAGCTGTTTCCAGTCAGGGTTTGCTGACATGAAGTCGTGGCAGAAGCAGAGATCTGCAGCCCAGGCTTCTGCCCTTGCTTTAAGTCAGGGTCCTGGGCCATTCTTGCAGCTGCCAGCTCCAGTTCACTTCTGGGCGGTGATTCACTTTCTCCTCCCACTGCCCGTTTGGCCTGGAGGGCCCCTTCCTGATCATCGCAGGTTCATGGAGGGCTTGCAGTCTTCTCAGCTGCACATGGGGCTCTCAACCCAGCCACCATCAGAGTACGACCTCTTAGCGCTTACACCTTAGCCACAAAACACCTTGAGTTTCAACAGTCAGTAGTAGCCAGGAGAGTGGGTCCCTCCTGCATCGTCAGACTCACAGGGGCTTTCCCCCAGTGCCTCCTTTGCGTGTTGCTATTCATGCAGATTCTTAGCACGTGTGAACAATGGTGGCCACTGTTTTGTGCAGAGACAAGTCTGTCCTGGCCGTGCTACCACAAAGGACCGGCACAGTCCATCGCTGGCAGCTAAGACAGTTTGTTCTCTCCCTCCCTCCCTCCCTCCCTCCCTCCCTCCCTCCCTCCCTTCCTCCCTCCCTCCCTCCCTCCCTCCCTCCCTCCCTCCCTCCCTCCCTCCCTCCCTCCCTCCTGCTCTCTCTCTCCCTCTCTCTCCTTCTCCTCCCCTTCTCTTCCCATCCCCTCCCTCTCCTCTCCTCTCTCTCTCTTTCTCCCTCTCTCCCTCTCTCTCTCTCCCTCTCTTCCCATCCTCTCCCCCTCCTCTCCCTTTCCCTCCCCTCCCCTCCTCTCCTCTCTCAAAACTCTTGTTATCATGTTATTCCAGGCAGTTAGTGGTACATGCCTTTAAACCCAGTACTTGGGAGGCAGAGGCAGGCAGGTCTCTGAGTTCCACGACAGCAGGAAGTACACAGAGAAACCCTGTCGAAAACAAAGCAAAACAACAACAGAATATATCCTACGTGTATGGGTGTTTGTCTACATGTTTACCTGCACATCACTTACATGCGGTGCCTGGGGGAGGGGCATCAGAGTCCCTGGAACTGGAGCTACGGGGTGTTGTGAGTTGCTGCAGGTAAGTGCTGAGAATTGAACCCAAGGCTTCAGGGAGAGCTGACAGTGCTCTTAACCATGGAGTTATCTCTCCAGCCCCCTTTTCTTTTCTACCATGCTCTCCTGCTTCAGGGTAGTCCCTTCTCTCCCTGGTGCTGTGGTTGGCTCACCTTCTAGTAGGACAGTAAATCTGCCAGTTCTTGTTTCGGAGATTCCAGTCTGTTATGGCAGGGAGAGTGTGGTGGAACAGAATGGCGTATCTTCCAGCAGCCAGGAACCAGAAAGAAAATTCATGAATTTTTAGTGACACAGAGAGGCAAATAAAGTGGCCAGGAAATGGCTCACCAATAGTGACTTGGGTCTTCAGCAGCCATGTAAAAAGCCGGAGAGAGAGTGGCTCTTGCTTGTAACAGCAGCACGAAGGAAGCAGAGAATGGCTGATCCCTGGATTTTGCTGGCTAGCTGGTGTGTGGTCTCACTGAAAATAAGAACTGGTGAGATGACTCAGCCAGGAAAACCCTTGTTAAATAAGCCTGAGGAACTGAGTTCGATGCCTAAAACCCATGGTGGAAGGAGAGAACTGACTCCTAAAACCATCCTATGCTTCCCCCACCTAAAAATAACCAGGAGGCTAGCTCCTAAAGGAGCCAGAGGTTGACCTCTGGTTACATGTACACACGTGCTAGTGCCCACACACCCACACCTACCTGAGCCCTCACTCATAAACATATAAACACACACACAAGCACAGAGGAGTGAGTAAAAGCTGCCTGTGGTGGCTATAAGCCTAGGACTTGGAAGACTGAGGCACTAGAGGTGTGAGTCCAAGGCCAGCTGGGCTATGGCATGAAATACTGCCTCAGAATGTATACACAGGAACTGGAGAGATGGCTCAGTAGTTAAGAGCAGTGCCTGCTCTTCCAGAGGACCTGGGTTCAAATCCTAGCACCCACAAATGGCAGCTCACAACTATGTGTAACTCCAGTTCCAGGAGATCTGATACCCTCTTTGGCCTCCATGGGCACCAAACATGCACATGGTGCACAGATATACGTGTAGGCAAAACACACACACAAAAATAACTAAAACACATGTGGGAAAGAAAGAAGAGTAAATGGGGACAAGGCAAACTTCCAGCCTTTCCTTTGAGTAAAATGCCAAGTAGTAAATATGACGGAAACTAAACAGGATGTTTATACAGATGTGTCTCTCACCAATTAGTCATCATAATGCAAAACCAGTATGTTATAAAATCTTGGCTGGGCAGAAAAAACTAAATCAAGGTGATCAATCTTCTCAATAGGTCAAGCAGAGATCAAATGCCTCCCAATAAGACACTCTGAGAAGAGCACGCATCACTTCTATGCGGCTGGGGTGTTATGAAGGAACAGAGCTGTTGTGTAGCATTCTTGAGGTCCTGGGTCTCATCCTCAGAACCTAAAAAAAAAAAGAGCACATGGTCAAATCTCAAGGGAAAACACTGGCTCAACTTCAAAGAGTCGTCAAAAAACTGGGAGCTGAAGAAGACTAGAGGAGCATGACAACAAAATGTGCATGGCTCTAAATTTTATCCTGGGATGAGGATTGCAGTAGAATAACTTTAAAGAACAGCGTCGGGACAGATGACAGCATTTGCATATGGATAGTAGGTTAATATTAGTGCATATTCTTTCAAGTGGAATACATAGGACGTGTAGCTTTATTTGGCACCCAAGTAGTTATCCCAATAGTATCTTCAGTTCATTCAGCAAGTGCTTATTAAAGGGATTGTTAGTGATTGGGCCTGAGTAGAGAGTGAGCATGATTAAAGAAATAGAATCGTAGATGAAATCCCTATACTGCAAAAATGAAATGACATGGACTTGAAAACAGGCTCAAATAAAGGAAAATTTACTCTGGAATTCCCAGGCACTCACAGACAGGCTTTGGTATTCTGCTGAACATGACAATTTCACAGAATATTCACATCCCTTTATGTAGACTTCTAGGGGAGAAAATCACCAACAATCAGATGTAGACTCTCTGTGCCCCAATGCCTAGCAAGCAATACCTATCAGTACAATGGTGGCGTGAATATCCTAGTTATACTCAATCATTTCCCAGTTGAATCTTAGGCCTACTCCCCAGAAGGGAGTGTAATAGGCTCCCAGACCTTAGCATGGCTGACACCATTATGTAAGTACTATTCAGGCCACCCAATATGTAAGCAGCACCACCTGCCAAAACCAGAACAAAGTCCTGATCCAGCAATTCTGAACCTATGGGTCAAGACCCTCAAGCCCATCGGAAAACAGATATTTACATTACAAGTCATAACAGTAGCAAACTTACAGTTATGAGGTAGCTATGAAAATAATTTTATGTTTGGGGGGGTCACCACAACATGAGGAACCATAATAAAGGGTCACAGAATTAAGAGGTTGAGAACCACTGTCCTAATCTATCAAAGTTTATAGTTCTGGGAAAGTCCTTAAATGTAGATACCTGGAAACAGGAATACATGCCTGGCACTTAGGAACTGGTTAAAAGCCTTTAACTAGGAAAGTCCAAGGTCCCCTGGGAGCCTCTACTGTTAATGTTTTGCTAAATGGATGTATAGTTAAATTGCTCTCCTGTCTCTGTCTTTCTATCTCCGTGTGTGTGTGTGTGTGTGTGTGTGTGTGTGTGTGTGTATTCATGCCCATAGACAAGTAGTATAACAGAGCCCCAGACCTTAGTAGACCTCCAGACATTAGCACAACTAAATTTATGTCAGGCTATAAAACTCAGTAGGTAGACATCACTACCTGCCAAAAATGAAAACAAGGACCTACTCCATCAAAGCCCATAGTTCTGGGAAATTATTTAAATGTACTAACCTTGCTTTTTGGCTTTGGTAATTCTGTTTCTGGCTAACTGTTCCTGTTAACTGAAGTATGTTAACCCAGAATATGGTTTTGTGCGTAAAAGATCACCTCGAGAAAGGCTTGGGGTTACGCTGGGATCCCGAACACCTATTGACTTAAACCCATGTCTAAGCAGTCTTCTCTGGTGAGTACCCCATAACATTTCTGGAGGCCCCACCGAGATCCCCAGAGACCAGACCCTGAGACATGGGGCTCTCACAGCCCCTTGGAGTAAGGAAGAGTGTGGCGGCCAGGGGACTCTAAGGGAGTTAACAACTTGGGATGTTCCAGGTCCCCAGGGCTCACTTTGCTCAGTTGCTTCCTAGTGCTTCAGAGGGGTCTGACACCTCCACCCCAAAGGAAACTAATTAGAAAGTCACCTGGCCCGTCACCTCTGGAGGTGAGTCTGGCTAAGAAGCCTCCTTTTGGACACACGGGAGATGTCGATGCAGAAGCAGATCCAGTGTCCAGTGTCTCAGAAGTTATGGCTTGTGTGGGGGTTTACAAGGGCCTGTCAAAAGAAAACTCAGCGACACTGTAAGAATGAATTTAGCCATTGCAGCTGCAAGGGACCTCAGCTGAACTGAAGTACATTCCCTATGCCCAGGACATTTTTATTTTTCTCAATATTTACACTTAGTCCAGTTGATTACCATATGCTCAGAACAACTAGCTTTGTAAGTGTTTCGGGATGGGTCGGGACAGGATAGAACAGGAGTGGGTCAGGTATTCTGGCACTCGGGAGTCACAGAATACTGAGTGTTACACAGCTCAGGTGGAAAGGTATCCTGGAGCTCGGGAGCCAAGGATCACCACAGGTTTCTGTAAGCTTGGCAGCTTACAGCCTTGCCTCAGAGAAAGGCTTCTCCGGTGTATCAGCTCCCCTCCGGCAGGACAGGGTCTTCCAGCTGGGGATGTTCACCTAGTGTAACAGTTTTGCTAGGCAGGAGGTTTCTCGGGCGAAGTTGCTACAGTTCAGCTCTGCTCCTGGAGAGCGGAGAGCAGGAGCAGAGTGTAACAACTCTGCTCTGCCAAGGAAGGTTTCCCAGGCAAGTGTTACAGCGCTGCTCGCTCTGCTCTGCCCTGCCCAGGGTCACCTCTGCTGTGTCGCCGCCGCAAAAGAAGATCTTCACCCAAAGCTCATCCAAAGGGGTTTATTGGAAGGCAGCTGGACCAGCCAAGCTGAACATACACAGGGTTTATATAGGGATTCTTGGGGTTGGGGAAGTTTTTCCAGAGTTGGGATTGGTCTGATTTCAGTGCTGAGCTCAGATTGGTTAGAGCTCTGCTCCGGGATTGGTTACTTTTTTTTTTTTTTTTTTTTTTTTTTTTTTGGTTTTTACGAGACAGGGTTTCTCTGTATTGTTTTTACACAGGATTAGGGTCAGATTTGGCTCTGGTTTCAGGGCCAAAGTGTGTTTCTTTCTTTGGTCCTTTTTTAGCCTTTTGGCTCCAATTTTAGGGCCAGGGTACATTTCTTTCACTGACTTTGATTCCAGGGACAAAGTGTGTTCCTTCGGCACTGGTTTTGGGGTCAGGGTACATTTCTTTGGTTCTGGTTGCAGGGCCAAAGTGTGTTTCTTTGGCTCTGCTCAGGGTGTGTTTCTTTGACTGGTCCCCTTTCCCTGCAAGCTTGAATGAGGCTTCTGAAAAGACAATGCCATGTTCAGAGTCTTGATTCATAGGTACCACAGTTTTCCAGGTTTCCTGAACCAAGTTTTGCATAGGTCTTTGTCTTCTTGGGAAATTCCCAGAACAGTTCACACAGGGAGACTAAAGGTAACTGGTTAGTCAAAGAATGGATTAGGCTAGGTGCTAGCTCTCCAGAGCAAGGGCAGGTATGTGGCTGTTGATATCCCTGCAGTGCCAGGCCAGCTGGATACTGTTACAGTCCAGGATCCGTGTAAGACTGAATCTGTCTGCCTGTTCAGATACAGGAGTGTGTGGTGGCCACCCCTGGTGGTCTTTACTGTGTCTGTGTCTGTGTCTGTGTCTGTGTCTGTGTCTGTGTCTGTGTCTGTGTCTGTGTGTCTTTCTATGTGTTTCTACCAGTTTTATTTCCTTGTATTGACCAGTGGCTTTCACTAATGTGAGACCCACCCCCATTGGCCTAGCTTAAGACCTGTGCTCCTTTCTGTTGGAGGCCTGAATCCTTTTGGCTCTGCCAGGCCACCCAGAGAAACCCCCAAAATTTCCACCTGTCCCATTCCAGGAGCAGGAACACTTGCTTGTTTTTTGCTTTGTTTGTTTGTTTTTTGATTCTTTGAAATAGGGTTTCTCTGTGTAGTTTTGTCTGTCCTGGAACTTGCTCTGTAACCAGGCTGGCCTTGAACTCGCAGAGATCTGCCTGCCTCTGTCTCCTAAGTGCGGGGATTTAAAGGTGTGCGCCTCACCACCTGTTGAGCACTTGATTGTTTCATTGCTTGATTCCTGCTCTTGGTCAGGGTTGGTCCCTGTGTGGAGGTGAGAAGGAGCTGAGCCTCTCTTCCAGGGCCCCTGCCGACTAAGCAGAATGCACACAGGGAGGAATAGTCCCCCAGGTGAGCATCCCCGATGCTCCTGCCTGCTCTAAGCAGCCCAGGGAAGGGGGAAAGCACTTTTGAGCTGATCCCAGAGGAAAAGAGAAAGTTCCACTTCTTTCTCTTTCATGATTTATGTCTTGTAATTAATAGTGATCTTTATAATTGGAAAACTCAAATCCCACCATTCTCTGGGGGGGGGAGGTAGAAAAACCACCCAGGACTGGGTAGGGGAATTGTTGCCAAGTCATGCAATCTGTATAGGACAGATTTTCCCTTCAGTCCAACATTGACCAAGGGGACTTTAAACAATTTTCACAAGGTCCTTTTAAAAAGGATTAAAGACAACTGCTAAAAAGATGTCCTTTGTTACCAGTTGGCCCCAAATATTAAAAAAATTATGAAAGTTAAAACATGTAAAGCTCTAAGTAGGTCCTTGTTGCTGGGGTATCTCAAAGGGTGTTTAACAACAAAGAACTGATTTCAACAAGACCTTTTGCATAAACTGCAAACTACTCTCAACTTCTCTGATGATGAAATGCAATTAGACTTACAAATTTTAGCCAGCAAATTTTGGTCTTTTAACCTCTGTCAGGAGAAACCACATTCCAGGACCAAGCTTCTACAATGGTTCAACTAGCCAGTTAAGCTGCCTTTGTCCAGACAATGACTCTGGAAACAAGGAGAAGATGCAGTCCATATTGCCTGGCTTGAAGACAGACACAGGCATCCTAGTACCCGGCCAGTCACCCTAGAATATGCCTTTCCTGATGATGAAGCAACGTGGGACCCCTGATTCTCAAGAGTCTGATTCTTCCAAAGAAACAGGTGTGCACTACCTTGGACCTGAAAGATGCATTCTTCAACCTCCCATTGGCAGAGGTGAGTCAACCCATCTGTCTTAGGAGTTCTATTGCTGTGAAGAGACACCATGGCCACCGCAACTCTTATAAAGGAAAACATTTAATTGTGGCTGGCTTACAGTTTTAGAGGTTTAGTCCATTATCTTCATAGCAGGAAACATGATGGCATTCAGGCAGACATGGTGCTGGAGAAGGAGCTGAGAGTTCTACATCTGGATCCACAGGCAGCAGGAGTCTGTGTCCCACTGGCCAGACCTGAGCTTGTAAGACCTCAAAGCCCTCCACAGGGACACACTTCCTTCAACAAGACCACATTTACTCCACAAGTCCACACTTCCTAATAGTGACACTCCCTATGGGCAAAGCATTCAGACACATGAGTCTGTGGGGGCCATTCCTAGTCAAACCACCACACCGTCTTTGCTTTCAAATGGACAGGCCGAGTGGGAGGTTACAGGGAGAGAGTTACATGGACCAAGTTGCCCCAAAAATTTAAAAATTAGCCAACCCTGTTTGATGAGAGACTTAGTGCTGACCTTCTGTCCTTCCACCAGGTTTCCTGGGAAGGTTATAAAAGGGCCACTGAGGGACTGCTACAAGAGTTATAGAACTTGGGCTACAGAAGGCTAAGAAAGCCCAACTTTGTAGAAGGCTACCTAGCGTGACTACCAGCTGAGGGCAGTAGGATTGCTGCCAGCCTTCAGACCCAAGCTCCAAAGACTAAGACAGGCTTGAGAGTTCCTAGGGGTATTGCTGTCTCCAGACACTAGAATTTGTAGAAATGCATCAGCACAAAGTGGGGCACTGAACCTCTTTATCTGGACTGAGACTAAACAAAAGGCATTACAAAAGGTTTTTAACCCAAACTTTGGGGCTGTGGAAACACCCTGTGACATTCCTGTCTGTAACGGGTCTTTCTTTGGACTGCCAGCTCTCTAATAATGACATGGAAACTTTTTATTAAGTATGAAAGCTTGGCCTTAGCTTAGGCTTGTTCACAACCAGCTCTTAAAACTCAACCTGTTTATATTAATCTATGTCTGCCACGTGGCTGGCCTCTAACTCACAGAAACCCACCTGCCTCTGCCTCCCAAGTGCTGGGATTAAACGTGTGCTCCACCAACGCCCGGCTTCAGACCAACGTATGTTATACCTAGACTGGGCAGCCTAGTGTGGGATGTCTCAGCCAGATGCCAGATTTATGCTCAAGTGAATCCAAAACAGAGAACCCTTACCCAGGAAGGGGTCCAAACGAGAGACCAACACCCCAGTAAACTCTGGGAAAACTGACTTCACCAAGATCCTGCCTTAGGGAAGGATAAAAGTACTTGCTAGTTTTTACAGATGGCTTTTCCATCTGGGTAGAAGTGTTCCCCACCCAGACTGAACTGCTCAAATAGTGGTTACAAAGCTCCTCCAGGAACTGGTCCCCTGATTTGGCCTCCCCCTAGCAATGGCATCTGACATTGCCTGACTTTAATGGTCAAAACCTCTCAATGAATGCCTGAAGCTGTAGACATAGATTGAGAAATTCATTGTGCAGCTAGAACTCAGAGTTCTGGGCAGGTAACATCAACAACAACAGGAAGCCAGGAGGTGGGGGTGCACACCACATACCTTTAATCAACACTGGGATGGGGGTGAGGGGCGGGCAGAGGCGGCACTCACTGTGAGTTCAAAGCCAACCTGGTCTACAAGGTGATTTCCGGAGCAACCAGAATTGTTACACAGAGAAACCTTGTCTCAAAAAACCAAAACAGGACAAAAACAAAAATAAAACAAACAGAAAACTTGTAACAAAGCTCTCGCTACAGTTCATCAAAGGATGGATAGGCTTTTCCTTTTGCTTTGTAACTTGTAACAAACTTGTAACAAAGCTCTCGTTAGAGTTCATCAAAGGATGGATAGGCTTTTCCTTTTGCTTTGTAACTTGTAACAAACTTGTAACAAAGCTCTCGTTAGAGTTCATCAAAGGATGGATAGGCTTTTCCTTTTGCTTTGTAACTTGTAACAAACTTGTAACAAAGCTCTCGTTAGAGTTCATCAAAGGATGGATAGGCTTTTCCCTTTGCTTTGACTCTGCCCACTGCACCCCATATAGGGAGGGATTTATCCCCCTAAGAGATGATGTTTGGAAGACCTCCTCCTCACTGCTTCCCAGGCTCAGAGATCAGCAGTTGGCAGAACCCTCTAACCATTCTCTTCTCTGTTCTCCACACAGGCTATTCATTAAACAATCTGAGAAGCCCAGCTGACCTCTGAGTCCACCACCAACTTCCCCTTGTTTGAATCCAGTGATACCGTCTGTGCCAAATGAAGAGCCCAAGGGGCACTGAATCCAACCTGGAGAGGACCCTACTAGGTGATTCTCTCCACTCCTATGATGGTAAAGGTAGCTGGCATCACACCATGGATCCACCACACCCGGGTCAAGGAAGCAGAATCCCCAGATGCTGCCAAATCAATGTCTCTGATCTGTGGACCCATTAAAATTAATGTCTCATTGGGCCCCGGGCCCTTCCACTCCTTGCCCCTCTGCCTCCTCCTGAGTTGTGTTTAGTGCTATGAGTATAAATACAGGGTCATGTATTCATGTGGAGGTCAGCCCCCGCCGCTCTCAGGCCTGGAACCTAAGGAAGACCGATACAGGGAAGGTGTTAGCTAGTGTGATTACAGACCAGCAGCGGCAGTGAGCTTGACCTTCACTTGCTGATACTCAGTTTAAGTGTCTAGTTTGACAGGAAAAAAGGAAAGAGATGGAAATGCATCTTTTGAGATAAAATGCAGAGTTTACATTTTATGCCTGCTCTGTGGCTGGGCCCCCTAGATGCCAAAACAAGGGAGTTTCCATTGTAAAAACTGAGACTTCCTGAAAAATCCTTTAAAAATATTCTGGCATTTGGGAAACAGGAAAAACCTGGAGAAACAGACTCTATGCCACAGGAAGGGACCCTGGGAATAGAGTTAATCATTCCCAGCCAAAAAAATCAGTCAGGATTGCGGATTATGCTTGGACACGTGGCCCCTGTACTTTATAAGGATAGGAAATAACCAGACTGTCAGCCTACTGACAAAGCTCACTGTGCCTGGGTGGCAGTCCAAATTAATGTTAGAGAGCTTACAAGGGTCTAAACTTGTCTAATATCCAAGACCTTTAACCTAGGCACTTCCTTTATTCTGATGCCGGCTATTCTGGTTTTCAGTTAGTTCACCTGAATAACCAAGCCTCTGAGACTACTTGGTGGGCATGTACCAATGGTTTGACTACACATGCCTCTTCTGATGCTTTCCAAACTTAGTAGGCAGGTTGATCAGGACCCAGAGATATTAAACCAACAGTTAGATTCCCTTACAGAAGTAAACAAACACACACACCCTTGAAACGATCCTACAAAATTGAAGAGGCTTAGATTTACTTCTTATGAGATAAAGGAAACTGTGTCCAGCTTTTGGAAAAAGTCTGTTATTTATATGCTAGTTGACTGGGAATAATTTTTTAAAAATCTTGCCATGGCTGGGAAAAAATTCAAAAATTCAAAAATACAAAGACATATTAATACCAGATAATTAACACCAGACTCTGTTCTCTTGGCCCCCTGGTTAACTACTCTGCCATCAGCACTGGCTGGGCCTTTAACTCTCATTCTGATTGGAATAACAGTGAGGCTCTGCATCTTAAACTAAAACAGGATAAGTCCATGATTTGACTCATTCACTAGGACCAGTGGGGAACTGGAAGAAATGTAACAGGGACCCAGACCTTAGCACAACTGACTCCATGATGGAAGTACTTTTCAAGTTGTAAAACTCAGTAGGTAGACAACACCACCAGCCAAAGCTAAAACAAAGGCCGAATCTGCCAAGTCTATAGTTCTCTAAATGTACTAACCTTGCTCTTTGGCTTCTGGAGTTCTGCTTTTGTCTAACTGTTCTTATTAACTGAAGTATGTCAGTCCAGGACATGGTTTTCATGCGGCATCAGTGTCACCTGCTCTGAGGCTCAGAAAGCATCACAACAGAGAGGACGGGCACCATGGGAACTGAAAGGATGGGGAAGACTACAGCATGGCTGCTGGCTTCTGTCCAGAAAGTGGACATGGCAATCTCGAACACTCAGCAGGGGTGACTGCATGGGGTCTGAAGAGAGAAAGTGAGGAGGGACTTGAAGGTAGGGTGGAGGCTAGCTGGGAGGAAGGGGCTAGCAGAAGTGAGGGGATAAGAGAGGGTCTAGTGCATGCTGGGATAGCACCCTACCACCCTGTTGCTCAAGAATTCACGGTTTTGCAGGCATAGTGCTGCATGCCTTTAATCCAAGCAGAAGCAGGCAGATCTCTGTGAGTAGGAGGCCAGCCTGGTCTACAGAGTGAGTTCTAGGACAACCAGGGCTACACAGTGAGACCTTGTCTTGAAAAAAATATCGCCGTCCCCTCTGTTGGAAAACAGGCCATTTTCATGGTCTTATTTGGGAAGCAGCAATTAGATTCTTGAAATTTTAACATTGAAGAAAGAATTTTTCATTTCATTATGTTCTTGTTATTAAAAACTTGCCCAGGAATTGGAACTGTGAAATCTGGAATTACTTTAGCAGATAACTCAGTGACTGATGGTGCATGTTGCTCTTGCAGATGATCAAAGTTTGATTCCTAGCACCCAAATCCGGTGACTGAAAACTGCCTGGAACTCCAGCTCCAAGGAATCAGATGTCCTCCCCTAGACTCATTTACACATACATACTTATGCACACACAATTAAAAATAACTCTTAACGTACACTTGGATAGGTAGATCAATCAAGCAATGCCTTTGCTTCATCACACTAAGGCACTTAACTGATCCTGGTTTCTCCATCTTGTCTCAACTGGAGCCATCTTTGTAGTTTTTTTATGACTTTTTTTTTCTCCAGGTAGTCACCTGGAGCATCTCAGGTTGTATACCCTCTTCCCTGGGAAAAAAGGTCTTGGCATTTGCAACATCTCTAAGTTTCCTTCAGTGAGAAGCTCCTGGTCTGTCTGTCACCTCTGGAGGCAAGTCTGGTTAAGTCACCTTCTGTTTGGATACATAAGAGCTCTTGGAGAGGATCCCAGAGTCTGGAATCCATGTGAGATGTCACCAGAGTCCTGACCACCCCCATCTGAGTGGGTGGTGGCCATCCCTAATTTGTCTCTTTCATTGTTTGTTCCTCTTTTGTCTGTCTCCTCTGGTTGGACTGTTATTTGTCATTGTGAATCAAGATCTGGAAAGTCAAACCAGAAGTTTTGCTTCCAAGCAACTCACTCCTTTGGATGGTCTACTCCACCGTTTTCAGGAGGCATATAAAGATATGGGGACAGACCAAGGGGTCTGCCTTGTGAAAGGGTGCCTCTGGACCCTCCTTTGCTGTTGAATGGCTGTCTGCAGGCACATAAAATAGCCATATGGCCTGAACAGTGTGGTAGCCACAGGAAATCCTAGCCACCCTGACCAGTTCCCTACAGAGATGTTTGGTTAAGTCTGTTACAGCAACTTCCTCCACGGCTCAGGACATGTTTGTTTCCTTAAAGTTGATATAAAAGTTCTGGTAGCAGAGAAGCTAGGAAACAAGGAGGACCCTAAGAGAGACATATATGGTCCCCCAGAGAAGGGGAAAGCTCCTGAGCTAATTGGAAGCACGGGGGTGGGGGGAAAAGGGGTGAGGGAGTGGAGGTAGGAAAAAGAGGAGGGGAAAAGAGGAGGGGAGAAGAGAACACGAGGGATCAGGAAGATTGAGTCAGGAAGAATAGGGGAGAGCAAGAAAAGAGATAGCTTAAAGAGGGAGCCATTATAGGTTTAAAGAGAAATCTGGCACTAGGGAAATGTCCAGAAATCCACAAGGATGACCCTAGCTAACAATCTAAGCAATAATGAAGAGGCTATCTTAAATGCCCTTCCCCGATAATGAGATTGATAACGACCTTAAATGCCATCCTAGAGCCTTCATCCAGCAGCTGATGGAAGCAGAATCAGAGATCCACAGCTAAGCACTGAGCTGACTCTTGGAATCCAGTTGCAGAGAGGGAGGAGTGATGAGCAAAGGGGTCAAGACCAGGCTGGGGAAACCCACAGAAACAGCTGACTTGAGCAAGTGGGAGCTCATGGAACCCAGCTAGACAGCTGGGGAACCAGCATAGGACCGAACCAGACCCCCTGAAAGTGGGTGCCCGTAGGCCGGGCAGTCTATGGAGCCACTGGTAGTGGATCAGTATTTATTCCTAGTGCAGGAATGGACTTTGGGAGCCCATTCCTCCATTGAAGGCTACTCTCTCAGCCTAAATATATGGGGGAGGGCCTAGGTCCTGCCCCAAATGATGTGACAGACTTTGATGATCCCCCATGGAAGGCCTCACTTTCTCTGGGAAGTGGATGGGGAGTAGGAGGGGTGAGAAGAGAGGGTCGGTGAGGGACAAAGGAGGATGGGAGGGAGAGGGAACTGGGGTTGATATGTAAAATAAGATTGTTTCTAATAAAAAATATACATACATACACACACACACATACATAGTTCTGATAGCTAAGCCACAACAGGAAAAAGCACCAAAAATTCTATTGAGCAACCCAGAGGAGGAAGAATTACTCCTACCCAATGTCCCTGGACAGAGGTGACCCCTATTCCAGGCCTCAGCCCCAGAGGCCCTTTCTTCTTCCTCTACAGAAACCTCCCCAAGTCTACGTCTGCCTTGCACACTGCAGTGGCTCCAATTATGCTTCCCACCTGAATCTAGCAGCTACTTCCCCTGATTCCCTCGGTACCCTGGATTGGACCGAGACCCCAGCAGCTCCTGCCATTCTTCCCCCCTGGCAAGCCCCTAGACTCACTCTTTTGGAGCCAAAGGATTTGAATGAGAAGCCCCAATGCCAATTTGTGGTATATATACAACAGGAAGTCCCAGAAACCTCCTTTCTCTGAGAAAGTGCAGGCACTCATCTCTCTCCTAGAGAGTGTCTTCTGGACTCTCCAGCCCACCTGGGATGACTGCCAACAGTTACTGGATAGCAGTGGCAGGGGAGGGGGCGCTGGAGAGATGATGGCTCAATGGGTTAAGAGCACTGGCTGCTCTTCCAGAGGACCCAGGTTCAACCCCTAGCACCCATATGGCAGTTCACAACTGTTCAATTCTAGGGGGATCTGATAACCTCACACAGCTATCTATGCAGGCAAAAACACCAATGAACATATAATAAAATAAATTATACACATACATACACATACATATAGATGAGAGAGAGGGAGGGAGGCAGGAAAGAAGGAAGGAAGGAAGGAAGGAAGGAAGGAAGGAAGGAAGGAAGGAAGGAAGGAAGAGACTGCATAAAATTGGAAGCTAAGAAAGCTGTCCTGGGTCTAGATGGGAGATCTCTAGCTGGTAACATGGCATTGAGGGCATGTTTCTGTCTGACCGACCCCACTGGAATCCTAACACTGACCAAGGTAAAGGGAGCTAGACACCTACCTCGGACTCTCCTGGCTGGGCTCCAAGCAGTGGCACAGAAGCCCACAAGCCTGTCAAAGTGAGGTGACGCAGGGACTCTGGTCTATCCCACTGGGTCCCCAGAGTGCCTTCTAGAGACTCCCTGTACTTATATGCCCCAGACTCAAAAGCACCAGAGAGCAGGCTGGTATTCAACATTGTCTTTGTACCCAGTGGGCCACAGATATTGGAATTTGAAAAGTGTAGAGGGATTGAAGGTATGAATAGGTCCCAGTTGCTGGGGTAGCCCAAAGGTTTTTTTTTTGTTTTTTTGTTTTTTTTTTTTTTGTATTTACGAGACAGGGTTTCTCTGTATTGTTTTGGAGGCTACCGGTCCAGCCCGGCCCCGAACTCACAGAGATCCGCCTGCCTCTGCCTCCCGAGTGCTGGGATTAAAGGCGTGCGCCACCACCGCCCGGCTGCCCGAAGGGTTCTTAACAACAGAGAAATAACTGGGAGCCAGAAGGATAAGAGATTTACCAGGGCCATAGCAGTGGCCCTATTAGAAAACCCAGATAATAAACCAATCTGGTGCAATAGGTAAGAAGGAAGCCACAGTTCGAGCCCTCAGGGGCCTAGGGTAACACTTAAAATTTGGAGGAAGCAATTGGCTTCTTAGTGGACATTGGGATGACATCTTCAGTCCTTAAGAAGCACCTAGGCCAATTGACTGATGAAGAGATTGTGCAAGGAGCAACAGGAAAAATGGCCTGCTACCCCCCTGGACCACTAACCCATTTCATAGACCTAGGAAAGTGGACAGTAACCCCTTGTCATACATGATTGCCCTTACCCACTATTGAGATGAGGCCTTTTGCATAAGCTGAAAGCCACTGTCACCTTCTCTGATGATGAGACGCAGTTAGATTAAGATAGCCAGCAAAATTTTGATGTCATGCTATCAGAAGAGTATCTCTTAGCTGAAAGTCCTGTCCCCAATCAAAAGATACAGTTGTACTATCTTTCAGATTTACAACAAAGATTCCTAGGGGTATGAGCAGAAAAACCTTTTGGAACTGGCCCAACACCAAGTCGCTACAATTGTTCAACTAACCAGTTCAGTTACCCCTGTCTAGAGTAAACAATACTCAAATGGCCCTGGAAGCAAAAAGGAATTGCAGTCCACATTGCCAGGCTTTGAGAGACCGGTATCCCGGTACTCTGCCAGTCACTCTGGAATACAACATCTCTGCTGCCTGTAAAGAAATCTGGCGCCTCTGATAGCAGACCCTTCAAAGATCTGAGGCATGTGAGTAAGAGAACTGAAATTATCTTCCCACAGTCCCAGATGCATACACTCTCATGAGTCTGATTCCTCCAGAGAGGTTCACTGTCTTGGACCTGAAAGATGCATTCTTCAGCCTCCCATTCGCAGAGGCGAGTCAACCCATTTTGCTTTTGAATGAGCAGACCCAGAGGGAGGTTACAGCAGGCAGCTTACCAGGACCACGTTGCCCTAAGGATTTAGAAGCTCTCCAAGCCTGTGTGATGAGGCCCTAAGTGCCGACCTCCTGCCCTTCCATTAGAGGTTTCTTGGGACCATACTATTACAGTATGTAGATGACCTCCTTCTAGCCTCTAAATTAAAATAGACTGTAAAAGGGCCACAGAGGGACTGCTGTAAGAGTTACAGACTCTGGCTACAGAATGTCGGCTAAGAAAGCCCAGCCTTGTACATCAGAGGCTGCCTATCTTGGCTCCAGCTGGGGGAGGATAAAAGGAGCCTGTTTCAGAGCAGGATTGCTGCCATCCTTCAGATCCCGACTCCAAAGACTAAGAGACAGGCTCAAAAGTTTGTATGTGCGGTTGGGTATTGTTGCCTCGAATACCAAGGTTTGTGAAAATGGCAAGGCCTCTGTATACTACCATAATGGGGGCACTTAGCCCCCTAGTTTGGACTGAGACTGAACAAAAGGCAATTGAGGCTTTAAAAACAACTGTGACTTGGGGTCCAGCTCTAGCACTTCAGATGTATCAAAACATTTTCATTTGTCCATGACATTGCAAAAGGAGTTTTTTGTTGTTGTTGTTGTTGTTTTGTTTTTCGAGACAGGGTTTCTCTGTATTGTTTTGGAGGCTGTCCTGGAACTCACTCTGTAGAGCAGGCTGGCCCCCAATTCACAGAGATCCACCTGCCTCTGCCCCCAAAGTGCTGGGATTAAAGGCGTGCGCCACCACCACCCGGCAATTTGTGCCAGATTTCTGATGTTGATGGTTTCCTTCACCGCTTAGCTTTTTTTAAATGCCTTTCCACAGTTGGAAGCTTAGCTGGGTGGGGTCTTGCCCCACTTAAAATATCCAGCTGCTTTCCTAACCCAAAGTCCACATTCTGCAGGGAGGGAATTCCAGGTCCCCAGTAAGTCCAGCTCTGGGAGAGAGTGGGGAAGTGGCATCGCTTCATCTTGTAGTCTCCTTATCTAGTGTGGAGGAGATGGGTCTCTCTGGGCATGGCTGACACCATGCTCACCCTCGGCTAAATCTCTTCTCATGGCTATGAGGTAAAGATACGAAAATCATGTGTACAGTCAGAAGTGAGGCTAAACCAGGGAAGCAATCTTCAGTGTTCCTCAGAAGAGGGTCCAGTGAGCTGCATGACTGGGTTGGTATGAATTAGTCCCCCCTTCTGGGGCAACTAGCTAAGTCCTTGCTGAGTGCCTTCAGGCCTGTCACCTAACCCCCAGACCTCAGACTCCTAGGGAAGTTCAGAGCCCACTTCATCATTATCATTTAGTCTTCTGCCCCAGTAAACTTCAGGGTATATTTTTTCCTTTGGAATCCTGAAAATGAACTAGAAGTAAGATTTCCAAATAAAATATAAGATGTGCAGTTACAGTCAAGTTACACACACACACACACACACACACACACACACACAATCAGTTAATTGGCCAGGGACAGGCTTATACTAAAAGATTATTCATACATGTTAATCTAAAATTCAAAGTTAATTTGGCAACTTTTAACTTTTTACAGAGGTGTGTTTCACTCTATTGTCTAGTCTAGCCTTGAACTTTCAAGCAATCCTCCTGCCTCAGTCTCCTGAGTAGTTGTGGGTCACCCACCATACAATCAGCTTGGTGTTTTTTTTTTTTTTCCAAGTCTGGAAATCTCATTTAGGGGCAATGTCCATGCTCTCAACAGCAGGGACAGGCAAACTGGAAGCCAAGAGATAAGTGTGGGTGACACGGTGACACCCTGGCACTAATGTCAGGCCACCAGGTGGCAGCCAAGGTCTGTGCAGCTTTGGCTTCAGGGGGTGGGCTCCCACTGACTGCAGCAATGAAAACTTAAAGGGACAAGGACCCTTTATTCTCTCAGCTTCTCCCAACCTTATATCCCACTGTTCATCTTCAACCTCCTCTATTCCATTGAAGTTAATCCACTCTTGTCTAGTCACACTCCAGCCAGAAGTTCAGGAATTGTTCCCCACCCCTAAACATTAGACACAATTTTCAAAAAAGAATAGCCTTAGGTTTGTCATCTCAGATTGCTTCGTAAGTAAGTACTGCACATGCCAAGATTGATCCAAGCACAGGGCACATGCCTGCAATCCATCTGCTTGAGAGGTAAACACAGGAGGATCAGGAGTTCAAGACCAGCCTAAGTCATGTAGCAAGTTGAAGGCCACCAGGCTTCAGGAGACCCTATTTCTAAACTGGTAAGTACAGAGACATCTACACAGATAGACAGATGGACAGACAGAGACAGACAGACACAGACACAGACACAGAGACAGACAGACAGACAGACACACACAGAGCTATGCTGTTTAATACCCTTTAGTGAGCACTTTTGATGTAAATCCAAATTGAACAACAGTAAGTGTAACATGAACACAGAATTTGTTTGTTTGTGTCAGGGTCTCACACAGCCCAGGCTGGCCTCAAATTTGACATGTAGCTGAGGATGACCCAGAGCTTCTGATCCTGTCTCTCTTCCTGGATGCTGGGATTGCAGGTCTTCAGTACCATGCTAGGCTGCTCAGAGGCTTTTGAAAGGCAGATTGGAAAGGCATGTAAAGTAGCCCTTTCAGCATTTTAAAATGTTAATGACATGTCAAAATAATATTTGGTGTAGTAGATTACGTAAAACACATTACTAAAATAAATTTCCTCTATTCATTACATTTTAGGCTGCAGCAAGAATATTTTAGGTTATCTCTGTAGTTTGCATTAGTATTCTCTTAGTCATGGCTGGCATGAGCACAGTCTTATTACTTTTGAAACAGAGGATCTCCTGTAGCCCAGGCTGGTCTTGAATTTACTATGTAGCCAAGGTAGACTTTGAACTGTGATCCTCCTGTCTCCTCTTCCTGGGGCCTGATACAACATCCCCCTGCTCTTGAGGTCTTGGGTGTAGAGATAGGACCATTACTACTTAGTCAAACAAAGCCAAATTCTATAATGAGACCGCCCTTGAGTGTCCTGATTCACTTCTTATGTCTCCCAAACACCCATCCTTTTCATTCTCCTGGGTGAGTTCAGCTCCCACCACTTCCTTTTCTTTTTTTAAAACCTTTCTTTCCTTCTTTCTTTCTTTCTCTCTTTCTTTCTTTCTTCCTTTAGGTTTTTTGAGACAGGGTTTCTCTGTGTAGCCCTGGTTGAACTCACCCTGTAGCTCAGGCTGACCTTGAATCTACAGAAATGTGCCCGCCTGTGCCTCCCAGTGCTGGGAATAAAGGTGTGCACCACCACCTTGTTGTTGTTGCTGTTTGTTTTTAATGTGTATGAGTGTTTTCCCTGTATGTATGTCTATGCACCATGTGATATCTAGCTCTTGAAGAGGTCAGAAGAGGGTGTTGGAGTTGTGCCCAAATTCTGAAACCCCAAAATCACCAAGAGACCCATTTCAATGCAAAATCAGAGTCTTTTATTGTAGTTGTTTAACAAGCTAAACCCATTAGCTCGGGCCTTTCACCCACTCATCACAGTGGGCGGCTAGAGAAAGACCCGGAGAAACCACGGGGCAGGGATCTCATAGGGCAGCATAAGGGGAGTGTCTAGGGGTATGCAACAGCCTCAGGATTGGTGTGCTTCCAGGCTTGGACGACCTGCCCTATGTTGATTGGTAAACTGGTTGTTATGGCCCATAGGCCCTCCCAGGACGGTTGCTATGCTCTGCACATCGCTGTTATGCACTTGATCGGAAAGCACAGCCCAGCCAGCTAACTTCTGATTGGTTCCTTGTCACAAGGAGGGCATCTGACCTCCTAGTAACCAGGACAGGAGGGGCAAGGTCAGGTGAGCACATGTTAGCCTGTCATGGCTGCTAAAACAGAGGGCTAGTCCTGTCGATTGGATGCCTGGAACTGGAGTACAGATGGTAGTGAGCTACAAACTGTAGGTGATGGGAATTGAATCCAGGTCCTCTACAAGAGGAACAAGTGCTCCTAACCACAGAGCCATCTCTTCAGACCCATAAATAACAATCAAGATGCTGTGGGTTCTGGTTACACAGATACAGGGACAGAATCACCAGATTCTATTTGCCCTCCAAAAAGAGGACAAGTAAGGATTAGCCTAGTTGAGGATCCTAGAACTTCTTAAAAGGCCTTACAAATGCTGAGTAGGGTTACCAGATGTGTCAGTAAAACCACAGGATAAGTTACAGTTTGGTTTTTTTAAAAATAATTTTGACCTCCTAGGTCTTCTTTCTCTAACCCCCATGTGCCAGGATTACAAGAATGTTCCACTACACCCAGCTGGCTACAATTTTAAAATAACAAAAGTATTTTTAAAGATTTCTTTTTGTTTTTAATTCTGCTATACATGTGTGTTTGGGTGAGGATGTGGATGTGGGTGCAGGTGCCACTGAAGGCTAGAAGAGGGAGGGCATCAGATTTCTCAGGAGCAGAAGTCTGATGTGAGTCGCGGGTGCTGGGAATTGAACTTGGGCTTTCAGCAAGAGCAGTAAGATCGATTAACTGCTGAGCCATCTCCTCTAGCTCCAAATAACAAAAATATTAATGGTGAGCCAGTGAGAGGGATCAGTGGGTGAAGATACTTGTCACCAAGCTGACTTATCTGAGTTTGATCCCTGGAACACACATGGTGGAAAGAAAGGATTGACTCACACATTAAATAAATGCTATTCATTTTTCCAGGTAATTAAAACGTAACAGAAATTCTATTTCATTTGTTCCCTAGTGTCAGGACCCATGAAAAGGAATTCATTTCATCTTGCCTCAAGTTCAGAGAGTTCAAATCTGTCTTACTACCTATAAGACATAGCTTGGTGGCTGTAGAATGTTTTGGCCTTGGTCTCTAAATAACAACAGACTTGGGCTCAGGTGTGTTTACTCTTGTCCCTGAAGGCAGCCTGGCAGGTGTGGCTACCAAATACCTGGAGGATTAAGGGAAGTAAGTCTCTTTGCCCCTTATACAAGATAATGGAAATCCTCTGCCATTGTCCCCACTTTTGGTTGGATACCTAAGATTGTTAAAGAATAAACTTGGGGCACATTCAGTATGGATTGAATGACCCTCCTGACAACTATCCTGTGTATCTGTCTCCTCTCTTAACCCCTTTAGCTAGCTTTTCTTTATCCACACTCCCCCTTTCAGGTACGAACCGTGGGCTGCTGGGCTGGCTCCTACTGCAGGCCCGCAAAGATCGCCTCCCACACCCTTGTCAATGGTGCATGGTGGGACTGTAGTCTTAAGCGCTATTTAACTAGGAAGGCTGTAAGCTTAACATTCCATGTTCCTCAGTCCCATACCCCAGGGCCTTTGCAGCTCACAGATCAGCTGTACATTACCCTCAGGGCCATGCTACCCCATGTTTCTTCTGACTTTCCTTGTAACTCCCGAGTTATTGGAAGCTTTCTCTTTCTTGAGACCCTTTCCTCCCCTTGGATCCTACAGTCACTAGCCCGTGCCATTGCTGGGAGATGGTGGAAGTTTGGGGCCTAGTGGAGCAAAACTGGTTAATTGCTCTTGAAGGAACGTTGGACATGTGACCTCATCTATATTTTCTCCCTGGCTCTGGGAGGGTGCTATGTGAAACTGTTTCCTCCATGAGGACAGTGTTTGACACTGTTTCTGGGGAGTTGTAAACAAATATATACTCACCCAGATAGGAAACTGATGACAGACCAAAGAACAGATACCACCAAATTCAATATGCTGAATCATTGAGCTTTATTGAAGTTACAGGAACAGGGGTGAGGGATTAGTTACAGGAGCAGAAATAACTCAAAGCTGTATCATCAAAGCCCATACCAGCATGCATGAGACCCTCCCAAAACTAGAAATGCAGAACACACCACAGTACAACCCTCATTCAGCTCAACTGAATGCAGAGTATCCTTTCCACGTAAATAAGATGGTCTGGGTCCCTTCCATGCAGCTTGGCTGATCTCTGCTTCTCCTAGGCAGCTCAGCTGGTCTGAGCCTGCTTTAGGCAGCTCAGCTTGTCTCGGCACATCTCTCAGCAGCCCTTACTACTTACATATGCCTGGGGAGGGAGGGGACCTAGTGAATTCGATCAGTTTCAGGGACTTCCTGAAGTCATTAAATTGTTTACTTTCCAAGCTTAGTGAACTTCCCTTAGTGAGTATTTCACTTGTCCTTAAAATAACTTGTTTTATTTCCCCTTTAACATCTTATGTTTTAACAAGTTTCCCACCAAAAGGGAAGGCTTTAATCTTAGAGGAAGCTGTTATTACAACAGAGGAGGATAGACTTCTAGACTTCATCACATGCTCACAATATGAAGTGCTGTTGCCACAGGCCCAAAGTAGCAGGGCCAATGGACTAACACCATGAACCAAAATGGAACTTTTCTCCTTTCAAGTGATCACAAGCATTTTGTCAGTGGTTGGAAGCCAATACCCCAGGAGCACAGATGAAAGCATTTTAACAATACAATACATCATAGGTATTTAGTCAAGGAAGTGACTATCCCAAGGCTTTCCAGTAATGGGAATGAGACTGAGTATCTGTAGTTGTTTTTTTTTTTTTTTTTACCCTTTGAGGGCCTACCACCCAGCTCTCAAATAAATACACAGAGACTTATTCTTATAAACACCAGGCCTTAGCTTGGTTTATTTCTAGTCAGATTTTCTAACTTAAATTATCTTGTTTCTTTTTAACTTCATTTTGTCTCTGGGCTTTCTACCTTTCTTTATTCTATATATCTTTCTTTCCTTCTTACTCCATGTCTGGCTGTGTGACTGAATGACTGGCCCCTCCTCTCCTCTTTTTCTTGCTCCCTCACTCTTAGCTTTCTTCCCTAGATTTCTCCTCCTATTTATTTTCTCTGCCTGCCAGCCCCACCTATTTCTCTCCTGTCTAGCTATTGGCCATTCAGCTCTTTATTAAACCAATCAGGTGTTTTAGACAGGCAAAGTAACACAGCTTCACTGAGTTAAACAAATGCAATATGGGTTGGACAGATGGCTCAGAGATTAAGAGCACTGACTGCTGTTCCAGAGGACCTGAGTTCAATTCCCAGCAACCACAGCCATCTATAATGAGATCTTCTGCCCTCTTCTGCCCTGCAGGAGTACAGGCAGGCAGAACAGTGTATACATAATAAATAAGTCTTTAAAAAAATGCAACACCATCATTAAAAAATATTCCACAGCATCAACGAATGTAACATGGTTTTTTTTTGTTGTTTTTTGGTTTTTTTTGGTTTTTTTTTTTTTTTTTTTTTTTTTACGAGACAGGGTTTCTCTGTATTGTTTTTGAGGCTGTCGGTCCAGCCCAGCCTCGAACTCACAGAGATCCGCTTGCCTCTGCCTCCCGAGTGCTGGGATTAAAGGCATGCGCCACCACCGCCCCGCTTGAATGTAACACGTTTTAAACCACTATTCCACATCAGGTGCTGGAGCTTGTTAGACCCCTTCAGCAGGCAGGCGCCTTCTTGGGAAATGGGAAGAGCTTATGTTCTGCAGCCCAGGGAACTGGGCCTCCAGTCAGTCACACTGTCACCTTCCTTGCTCCTGCCCTCAGGCCTCCAATTTAAAGGAAGATCTTATTTGCCAAATCTCCCATGACAATTAATGAATGCCGCCTCAATCCACATCAGTTCTTGAGCCTTGAGGACTGTTATTATCTCTGTGTTATTAGCAAAGACAAAGGAAAAAACTGAACTCAGGTCAGCGAGATGGCTCAGTGGATAAAGGCACCTGTTGATAAGCCTGACAGCCTGAGTTTGATCTCAGAACCCACATAGTGGAAGGAGAGAACTGACTCTCATGTGGTCTTCTGACTCTCTCATGTGTGTGTCATGGCAAGCCCATGTGCTTCCTCCCATGCACAAACACACATTAAATAAATGAAAAAAAGTTTTAAATTTTAACTCAAATTAAGGCCTATCTTGGGCTTATTTTGTCCTGTCAATATACTTTGTTCCTACACCCTAGATGGCGTGGATCAGAAAGTCGCTCTTCAGTGACAGGGTCCTTAGCAGAAGGACCAGGGATGGAGAAATAAAGAGGATAGGAGAGTTGGGACCGGGAAGTCTTACTTAACCTGTTAGCTTATGCCAAGCAAGTTGTTTATGTCAAGAGGTACAGCATCTTATGTATGATTTTCTGGGAAAAATGAGACAGAGTCAGCAGAAAACCATCAAACAATGGGACAAAGTCAGCAGGAGTTACACACAGGGAACACAGGATATCTCAAATATGTCACAGGGCACACACTTAGCAGCCTTGATAATCACAGGCCTTCTAGGGGCAGTGGGAACGGGGATGGGGTTGTGGAGTTCCCAGGGTCTGAAACCACAGCTCTCCCAATGCCCCGGCCCAGGACACTACGGGGTCTGTGAAGCATGCTCCTGGTTTAGGTAAGAGACTACGTTCTGGGGCTGGAGAGATGGCTGGGAGGTTAAGAGCACTGGCAGCAGCCACGTGGTGGCTCACAAAAGAGATCTGGTGCCTTCTTTTAGCCTGCAAGCATACATGCAGACAGAACACTACATACAAAATAAATCTTTTTTAAAAAAGCTGTTGAGGGAAGGGGGGAGGGAGGGAGGGAAGGAGGGTGAGAGGGAGGGAGGGAGAGAGAGAGAGAGAGAGAGAGAGAGAGAGAGAGAGAGAGAGAGAGAGAGAGAGAGAGAGAGAGAGAGAGAGATCTTCTCCACATATCAGGGCCTTAAGGAAAGCCTGGCTCCCAGTACCTGATACACCCTAAGTGCAGGAGGGCTGGTGTGTCCATGTGTGGGTCTGGTGTGGTATGTATAGGCGCATGTGTCCTCTGGTGTGGAGGCCGGCGGCCGATGGATATCTTCCCTCAGATGCTCTCCACCTTTTCTCTCCCTGAAAACTTTTATCTTGTGTGTGAGTATTTTGTTCAAATATATTCTAAATGCATGTCGGATGTTTGTGGTATGAATACCACATAGGAGCTGGGAACTCAACCTGGGTTCTTTGCAAAAGCAGCAAATGTTCTTAACTGCTGAGGCATCTCTCCCCAGACCCTATACTTTTATATTGTGAGACAAGGTCTTTCATTGAACTGGAAGCTCACTGATTCAGTGAGGCTGGCTGACCAATGAGCTTCAGAGATACCCGATCTCTGC